CCTTGTCCAGCCACAGTGATGCACTCTCGTGCAGAACAGTTTTAGAGCATGTGTGTCTCCCATGAAGATAAGAGCAACGGCCTTGAGTTGAGATTCTCTCCAACAGCTGCAGAGACTTCGTTCTTTCTCCAGGAAACATGACTCACTGTTTTGAGAAGACTGAGCCAGAGACCAGCAGCGTGATGCGTTCCTTTCCTTCCACCTTTCACTCTTTCACACAATGGATTTAATCAGTTAAGTAAAAAAACCATTTGAAAACATTATAATGATTTATTTAAAAATTGTAGACAGATCCATATGTAAGAGAAAATATTAGTTTTTAGGATTGATGTTGTCTGAGTCCGAATCCTCCTGAATGCACAGAGAACCAGCCGCTCAGCATTCGGCGCCTCCTGAGCTGAGTCTGCTCCAAAGGACTTGAAACTCAATTCATTTATTTTTCTAAATCACAACAGCAGTCGTCACCAGAACTTTCCAAAGTGTCGATTCCTAAAACAACAAATCGAGAATCAAACATGTTGAACACAAGAAATGCATAATAACAAATGTCCCATCAAATGTACATACATGTAACTTAGCTCATTGATCTCCTGATTGAATATTCCATATTTAACAGTATATTTACCGTAGCTGAAATTAGGCCCGCAGCCCCAACTGGGGTTAGGGCCTTTTGCTTTTCCCAACAAGTTTGGACTTTCCTTTCTATCTGTGTAATCTCACTTTTAGTGAATAATTGTTATTAAGAACAAGCAAATAATGTGTGTGTGAACATTGAGGATGGATTAGTTTTATATTTACAACAGTGTTCTTACCGAAATAAAATAAATATTAACTGTTTAAATCATCTTCAGGAGAAACTGGACAAATCTGGAATCTCAAACCAGACCTTGTCCAGCTGCAAGACTCTGAAGAGCCGACAGGTCCAACCATCCAATACTCTACTTTCAAAGGTTTGTTTGAATGTATTTCTTTGATCTGGGAACAGAAGCACAAAAACAAACGTCTCATAAAAAAAGAAACGATGTCCTGTGCCAGGTTTCTTAGTAAATCTGCTGTTTCCAGCCGTAGTCCTGACAGGATGGAGATGATTACAGAAAGACTGATGGACAGTCATTTGTCAGCTCACTCCATAAAAAATCAGTCTCAAACATTACTATCACACACACACACTCAAATCATACACTTTAATTATGTACTCTCTGAGTCTGCGCAAGTTCCTCCAGGTGCTCCGGTTTTCATCTTCCCCTAAAAACATTACAATATTACAATCCCACAAATGTATTTTAAAAATCACAATTTAAAATGAACATGGTCGACTAATAGAATGAAAGAGATCCTTGTTATCTCACAGTGGGAAATGTCAGTGTTGCAATCACAGTTTACAGAACATAGGAATGATGAGCACACGCACAAGATCAATGAACAATAACTCCTATACACAATAAAAGAAAATACAAAACCTCAACCTCTGATATGAAGAAGAAACAGTATAAAATCTCTATCTCAGGCATAATGAGAACAAACAACTCTGACATTAGCAAAATACAGGAGTAGAACATTCTACCTCCTTATTGGGCTCATCAATTCTGCAGTTTTCATGATCCATTTACTATTTCTTCAGGAGGACAAAGTCAAACCTGATCTGAAACCAAAAGAAAGTCCAGTATCTTGACCTGATCCTGGTCCCAGCTGTGAGTCTCTGAAGCCAATTGTTCCAAAGATTAATATTCGATTTTTTTTTTAAAAGGAGAGTTTGTTCCTGAAGTTGTGCTCCCACTGTAACATGCTCTGAACAACTCTTTGACTTGCGTAGCGACTCGAACCCTGCCCCCTGCTCTGAGCTGTGTGCTCCAGCCTCAGTGACAGCTCTAAAGACTGGCTCCGTAGAGTTTAAGAATCAGTCCACCTGAGAACATGGGGTAAGTGCAGCACGGTTAAACCAGATCAGAAACTCACTCCCACCAGGTGACACAGAGAACAACAGAGTGTATAGAAGTATTGCCTCAAAATGTCTCGGCTCTGTCTTTACTGATCCCACACATCATTTAGTGCACTTCACTTCATCTGCACTTGTTTGGATGGTCGTAGACTCTGGACAGATGCACATCATGTCTCCACTGGAAGTCTCATCTCTGCTTCAGAAGTGACTTTTTGAGTTTTGGATCAGAAAAGACAGGAGTAAGTGGACTAACATCAAGCTTATAGATCCATTAAAGTAGTAGATTATTCTAACTGGATTTAAATCAGACTTAAACCAACGTCAGGACAAGCTTGGAGCTGAACTTCCCTATCTCCAGTTGGAACAATATGGATTATGTGGCCATACCATCCATGTAAAGACAGATCCTTGCAGACCTCTGAGCTTGTGCAGGGGAGGACCTGTTTAGAACTGTGATGGGGAGACCGCTGTGAACAGGTGCACAGTGGGCAGCTGCGGCTGTAAAAGTGACAAACGTGTTGTGTCCATTGGCAAGACACTTCACCACATGCCTAGGATAAGTCCCTGGTGGGTGTGTGAATGTTGGTGGTGTTCGAGGGGCTGATGCACAGACTGGTTCCTTGCTTCTGTCGAGTGTGCCCAGGGCAGCTGTGGCTACAATAGTACCTATGACACTGTGATAATGGAGTGAAAAGAAATATGAACTCATGAAGAGTCTTTAAGTTTCCAGAAAAGTGCTGTATAAAACAGATGCATTGTGATTATTATTATTATTATTATTAATATCCTACTAGAAGCCCCACGAGTACTGGCGTTACTGAGGTCTTCTCTAGCTTTCATTGGAGTGAAAGGCAAAGTTAACTTTTAGTTTCCACAAGAAACTTAGTGATGAAATGAATCATTAGGTGAGATAGTAATAACTTGATTAAAAAGCAGAGAAACACAGATATAGGACTCTTCCTGAGTGTCGTTCTGCCACTTGTATGAACTGTGCATACAAATAAACTCTGCCTTTTCTTTGTATTGGAAAACTGTCAGAAATTCTCAGTGGCTGCGTGTTGTGGCATCATAAACATGGTGGCCTGATTCTCAACAAACATGTTTTAACTTTACTTGCTAACAACAACAACCATTAAATGAAAGTAATGAGTCCATAGTTTTGTTCTTGTGTTTTTCTATATTTGACTGTGTCCCCAGAGCGAGAGCAGCACGGATCAACTCGGTATAGACCCCTGCTCCCATCTTCACGGTCCGTACACAAACACAGTGTCTGTGAGTATGTTCGACTGATTGTGTGATTGCAGCGGCTGCAGCAAGGCCTGGCTTTGCCAAAGAGCAGGTGCAGAGCTTCCACCGAGCCCTGAACTCAGATTACCCAAAACGCTCAGAGAGAGTGGGCGGAGGAGCAGCTCCTCAAGAGGCCCCTCCTGACCATACGCACTGGGCACTACCCTGGAGAGGATGGGGGAGGGGCGAGTGGACCGAGCGTCTTTCAGCCGTAAGAACAAAGAAAACAACACACTTCACATATTTTAAAAATAAAAAGATCTGAGAAAAAGAAGTCGTCTAAAAGTCAAATCTAGAGCAGAAAACAGTATTTAAAATACAAAATACCAAAGATTGGGTAGAATATTGGACATGTTGTAAAACTAGACATCAGACCCAGTGTCCTGCCTGTAAGAGCACACCCCTGCTGTTGCCAGAGCAGTGATTACTGATGATCAGTGACCAAACACTGGATTATCACCAAAAGAAACTGGCAACATCAATGAGAAGCTCTTTCTGAATGGATCATCTGTTTAACCATAAAATATGGTCTGTTTTTTTAAAATGGTAGAAATATTCACATTTTGATCAGAAAAGGCCAAACATGATTTAAATCATGTAGATAGATAAAAGATTTAAAATAAACACAATCTTACGTACTGTCCCTTTAAAATAGAAGAAAGCAGATTGTGTGCAGTGTCTCCTGATGCTCGGAGTGAGACCTGATGCTGAAGTGTGATTGTTGAAAGACAGTCCACTTAAAAGGGACGTGCATTGTATTTTGTGTTGAACATTAAAGGTCCCATGTGTCAGTTCTGATGTGTGTCCTGTAGCAACACCATGAGGTGTGACCAGTGTTTGGCTGTAAACCTGGACTCCCACATGATTCCTCCTGTTCTTCACAGAGAGTGCGGCTGGAGTTTGCAGAGATCAACTGCAGCAGCGTCTGCAGCACAAAGCTCAGCCTTGTGTCTGAGGGCGTGGCTAAAGCCGGAAGCCTCGCCCCTCTGAAGCAGGGTCTACACTGAGCTGTACATCACAGAGGGAGGGGCCGCGGGGGTCAACCAGGAGCATGAAGTCAAGACTCATCGAGAAGCAGATCCAGGAGAGCAGCCGCCCCAGAGCGCCCCATCACATGTGAGGACAATGTTTAAAGGCCCGCACTCAAAGAAGACCAGTGAGAGCAGAGCAAAGAGAGAGACCGGAACCAATCAACTGTGCTACGAAGGGCGTGGCAGGGTGTGGAAAACAGTGCTGACCAGAAGGGAGAGTCTGGACTGGGCTGAGGGCAGGGCCACCAGGACGTCCAGCAGCTGCTGCCGTTCACATTCAGAGAGCTCAATGTTCTCAAGACACAGACCTTCAGCCTCCGTGGAACTCACACAGCAACTTCTACAAGCGAAGCAAAACGTCTGCGACCACGAGCATGCTGCAGTTGCTCTTACATCTGGGACGGTCCTGGACGATGCTAACATCCCTGACTTCGCTGGACTCGAGTCCTAACAGACGAACAGAGAGCGTCACGCTGGACGTAGCTGGCTACAGGTGCACCTCATCAGAGAAACCTGCTACCCCTCTGCTCGCCACTGGATACCACACGCCCGCTGCGGCGCCAATCAGATCCTGCTGAGTGTGTCTCCATGGAACAAGTTGCGAGGTTCCTGACCCGCAGAAGGACGAGTACTTCATGAAGAGGTTCAGAGACCAACAGCGGGCCGCAGACATGATCTCCCACCATCAAAAGCTCCGCAGTCTGTACATCATGAGTGCCACCTGCCGGTCTTCTTGCTGGATGATGTCCACAGTCCTGGACCATGTGATGGAGACAGGGCTCAAAGAGCAGCTGCCTCAGACTCTCACCCAGATGTACATCCACTTCCTGGTGGTCCAGGCCAAGTCAAAAGCCTCAAGTACGATGGACTGCTCTGAGAGCGAGCTCACTGGAGCCCCTGACACCAGGGAGATGGTGCAGTCTCTGGGAAACACTCCTTTGAGCAGCTGCAGAGGGGAAACCTGATCTTCTATGATTCAGACCTGGAGGGGTGTGGGCTGGACGCTGCAGGGGCCTCTCTTTACTCCGGAGTCTTCACCAGGTGTTTAGAGAAGAGCCGGGGCTGTACCAGACCAAGGTCTTACTGCTTCATCCATCTGAGCGTGCAGGAGTTTCTTGGCTGCGCTTCACTCACCTCACCTTCTGACAGCTCTGGGGCAACCTTGCTGTCCCAACACAAACCACATAGAGCCCACGTCTGACGCAGAGACCCACGTCTGACGCAGAGAGCTCCACGTCTGACGCAGAGACACCACTCCTGACGCAGAGAAGATCCACGTCTGACGCAGAGAGCTCCCACGTCTGACATATGGATTGAGGAGGAGACAACTTTTACTTTCTGCTGTGAAAAAGCTGTAGACAGTCCCAACGGTCCCACCTGGACCTCTTTCTACCATTCCTTGGGTCTGATCTCTTTCGACCAAGTCACACCATTTATAGGTCTGTGCATCAGAAGACTGAGAGCCTCAGTACACCAATGAAGACACAATAAAGTGCATCACAGATAAGTGGTGATAAGTAATGAATCCATCAGAGAGTCGTATGAACCTCTCCACTAGTCTGCATGAGCTGAACGACCACAGTCTCTGCAGCAGTGCAGCGCTACATGAGAGAAGACATTCTCAGATAAACACATTCTGTGATAGAGTGACAGCGGTTTCCTCTCCTCTTACGTCTTCAACTCCTGAGCTCCAAGGACTTGACATCAGAGACATACTCTATCATCCAAATCTTTGAGGGTCTGCTGCCTGTAATGAAAGCCTCCAGAAAAGTCACGTGAGTCGAGATTTTATAAAACACAAACTCATGATTGGAGCCTGATTATACTTCCTCTCAGTCCGCAGTCTTTCCAGCCGTGACCTGAACTCTCTGATGAACATCAGTCGTCAGCTCCACAGCTCGGAAACCATCTGGACCTCAGTCACTGCTCCTCTGGGAACTCTAAGGTGGAGACTGTGATTCTGGACTGAGTGCGCCACCTGCAGACTGAGTCCTCAGGGGAACCCAGAACAGCCCCATATCAGACACTTAAAGAGGCAGCAGAACATTTGCATTATTGTGTTTTAATTATAAAAGTCTGAAGAACAAAAACCACTGCATTCAAACCTAATACAGTTCCATTTTGTCCAAGTCCCATCCACTCCAGTGTATGGGTTTGGTGGTGAAATAAATAATGAAAATTAAGTTGTAGTTAGTAAGAAACATCAGCTCTAGAATAAAGTGAACGACAATGAAAAGTTTAGAAAAAGTGTAATCAGTAATTTACATTTTCCTCCGTTTGAATATGAACAAAAGTGGTAACAGAATAATCTCTAATGATGGATTTTGGATTGATTCAGTTTATTTGTCTTGTGTCTCAATTAAATTTATTTAATCATTAGAATATAAAACAAATACATTCAACAGTTTCCAACTATTGCTTAATCATGGTTTAGAAATGATCTGTATATTGGATTATGGTTAGAATTTAGATATATATGTTATTTAGCTTCAGTCAAAAAAAGAATGAACATAAACTTGGACACTTGACATTTTTTGATTCATTTCAAACATTTTCAGAATGAACTGTATAAAACCTTAAGGCACTATGAAGATCATTATTATTTTGAGTTAAAAGTCAGTTTAATGTCCCAAAAGAGCATTTATAAATAATGTGGTTTTTCAAATGAGTTTTGACGTATTTTGTCTCGTATCAAAATTGATTATAAATTCAGTATCGTGACAGACCTAAGATGAACCCGAGCTAAACCGGGCCACACAGATATTTGAGGAATGATCACATTCACCTTAAAATTTGTGTATCTAGAAACAAAACACAAAGATGAGACAGTGGGTCTTTGTTTTATATTATAGTGTTTATTTAATAACAGTGGAAACCTGTTCCTCTCCTCATCTGTCCCTTCTGTCGCTGTCTCATCTCTGCTGTGAGTCTCTGCAGTCCTCGTGGTCCTCGCTCTCCTTGCTCTGAACACCGGACCTCATTAACAATGACCTCACAACTCAGGAGTGGAGCAGCTGTGTTGTGGACTGAAGAGCGCCACCTGCAGACTGGAGGTCCTCAGGTGAGTCCTAGCTCCATGTTTCACACAGTTTAAGAAGAACATAATAATAACATAAAAAAATGGATAACATTTCAAAACAGAGAGGATCTAATTAGGCCTGTTCCCAAAGTCCATTAAAACCTTACCCAAATCTATAAACCTGTAAACTTAATATAATGTACTGTACACGTATATGATGTCATATTGTCAAACAGACTAGTGTTAAATAGTAAAAGTAGCCGTGCCAAAGTGATAGAAGTGTGGCATAAGTGTGTAGGGAAGAAGACGGACTAGAGCAGCAGAGGAGGAAGCATGAGTGGATGAGTGGACATGAGACACACTCTGCTCGTCTCGCTGTTTCAGACCCATATCACTTTTACATGTTGTCTTTTCCTGAGGCCTTAAAGACACATGTGTCAGAACCACTTCATATTTCATGAACCATTAACACTACTACAGACTTGGAAGCGTTGACTGCTTTACTGCCTCTTGGTATCCCTGGGGCCTCTCTGCAGCTGAGGGGCCCGGAGGCCCTGGGGCCTTCAGACACTCACAACTGTTGCTTCTACATCACCAGACTCCTGTTGAATGTGCACAGAGGAGTGAATGGAAAGTGTCCTTGTGTTTACAGACTCTCAGGATGTGTGGTCTCTGAGAGGGGCGGAGCTGCTCTGGCCTCTGCTCTAAGCTCCGCCCACTCTCATCTGACAGAGTTAGACCTGAGCTACAACCATCCAGGAGCCTCAGCAGAGGTCCTGACCGCTGTACGGGACCACCCCCACTACCCCCTGCACACACTCAGGTGAGCACACTGCCCAGACTCTCTCTGTTCAAGTATTCACTGTGTATTTATTCAATCATTCATTCTGTCTTTCTTTTGAATAAGAACTAGTGCGTATCTCCACGGCAACAAGACAACAGTGTTTCAACTGAAACTATTTGAATTCAACACAATTCTGAGCAAAAACATCTATCGCTGAACTGAAATATAAACAATCTGTTTTTGACTTAATGATCCGTCACAAAGTATGTATGTAGCCAACCTGCATGTGGAAGCCTGATCCTGTCAGAGCTCAGGAGCTAAGCAGGGCAGGGCCTATATAGTGCTGTGATGGGAGACCTCTGGTAAATGAATAATGTCTGTGAAGCACTAAATAAGTTTGATGGATTATTATTATTGTTAATCACACATCGGTTCATAAATCACAGGAGAAAGATCACTATGATAAGAAGAAATGTTTTGGCCGACAGTAAGAGGTTAAACTGGAGACGTTCTTTTGTAGAAAACACTGAGGCTCAATAGAAAATGTTGATGATTGAATGATCACAGACATAATCTCTGTTTATTGAGTCTTTTTGAGGCTCCATCTCTGCAGTTCAATCACAAATCCTCCAAAAGCATTTGGTCCAGAGAATCCTGAAGGCCACACATCCTGTAGTTTTAGCACCTTCCTCTGGTCAGATTGAAGTCGACAGATAAACAACATTATTCCTCAGTTTTGTCACAGTCTGTGTTTGGATCTTATTGTGAGTCTTGTTCCATGTGTGAGTGACCTGTGTGTTACAGGCTGGACCCGGCTGGAGAGAGGTGGATGGTCACAGGTCCAAGGAAGTGTGAGTAAACAGGAAGTGATGTCATAAGTTAGAATGTTTAGTCCTCCTCCATCTGTGCCTTTTCTCTTCATTGACCTGTATGTTGGTGGTCTGTCCACGAGGACCATCCACATTCATTAGTGAAGGAACGGTTTAAAGTCTGAGATTGAGATGTTCCTCAGAGGGAGTGCTCCTATTGAGATGGAGCGACAGCTCCTTATGGTCCACCTCAAGAGCAGATCAATGATAAGGAGAAGAAAGGATCAGGAAGGACATGGAGGTGTTTAGTCAGAGACAGATCTGGGTCTGATTTTGGGTAAATACTTTCTTGATCCCTGATGGAGAAATGCAGGTGTCCAGCAGCAGAAACACATCCATCCAAACAAACAAATAAATCCATCATTCTAAAAGTGACTACAATAGTAATAAAGTGCAGCAGCAGCAGAGGTGGAGGAGCTGCTGGTGATGAGCTGCTTCCTCTCCTCTGGGTGATGTCTGCAGAGTCTGCTTGGTTTGGACCATTTTCTCTGCTCTGAATGGATTTGGATCTGAGTGGATTTACTCTTGATCTGTTTGGTTCAGATCGTGCATTCTCTCTGCTCTGGGAGAAAAATAACAATTGTAAAACAACTGTTTCTGAGCTACTTAGGTCTCGCTGTCGTTTCCAGTGCATTCAAAAGTCATTAATGTGACGCATTTGAACAAAAAAGATAGTGATGTTTTGGAAACTATTGAAATAAATAAATATAGAGAATAAGAACCAATAAAACAACTATTTACAACGATCCATTTTCCTTAGTTTCCTGTGTCTGAACTGTTGCAAATGTAAAATCTGTTGTATATTGTGTGTTTTGCTGCATGGTGTGTTAAAGTGACAGTGAGGTCACCAGTGTGTGTGTGTTCTCAGACTTCTGTGACGTCTCTCTGGATCCAAACACGGCCAATAACACTCTGCAGCTGAGTGAGTACAGAAGGACAGTGACCAGAGTGGAGGCGCTGCAGCTGTACCCCTCTCACCAGGACCGCTTCAGCTCCTGCCCACAGCTGCTGAGCTCCACCGCCCTCACAGGACGCTCTTACTTTGAGGTGGAGTGGAGCGGAGATGTAGTTATAGCACTGAGTCACAGAGGAATCGGACGCAGAGGAGACCTGGACCAGTGTCGCTTTGGGGACAATGATCAGTCCTGGAGTCTGAGGATGGAAGGAGACAGGAGGTCTTTTTATCACTGTAAAAGGAAAACACAAGTGGACTACTACTACAAACAAAGAGTAGGTGTTTTCCTGGACTCTGAGGCTGGAGTTCTGTATTTCTCTGAGGTTGATTATGGTAAATCCTGGTCCCCCCTCCACTCCGTCAGCGTCTCCGTCTCAGAGCCGCTGTTTGTTGGGTTCAGTCTGGAGCGTCCTGGTTCCTCTGTGTCTCTGCTGAACTTTGACAATGAAGATGATTGAACTCTAATTTTAAAGATCTGATATTTTAAACACATCGCTCAGAGCTTTTCTACTGATAAACAGAAATCATGTTTTTGTAAAAGACGTTGATCATTTGTGTCATGAGTTTTACTGCAGTAAAATATAAATGATTAATTTCTTTAAATGTTTTATTAAATTGATTCACAGCAGTTTCTGTTTTACAGCTTAGGTTCTTATTGAGAAACTGTTTTACAGAAATTACTTTGTTAAAATCAAAAAGCCTGAATAAAACTAGTTGTAAGGAACGTTTGGTTTATTTTATTTCTTTATATAATACTTTATTGTGTCATCTTCATTAGTTCACTCTTTTTTCTTAATACATACATCTTAACAAGACACATTTTGATATCTTTTTTTTTTCCTTTTTCCCTCCACTTTGCTCCCCTTGTGTCAAGAGAAGGGTAAAGCAAAACAAATACATAGATAAATAATAAATAAAATAAAAAAACAATATGAAAGTAAATATATAGAATACTATAAACAATAGATGATTATTCCTATGGCTTTATGTTGAATAGTTTTGATATACTGACAAACAGACAGAATGTGATGTTGGTTTAGTCTGTCGTCCTCTACTGTGTCCAATGTCCGTATTTGTTGACTTCACATTATATATACATATACACACACAAATACCCATACACATGTACATACATATACATCCACATATACGCGCAGACATACATACACACACACACATACGTATGCACGCAGACATATAATCACACACACCTGTAGACACAACATATTGTTCTAATTTTTCTCTTTCCCCTTAAGAAGCTCCTCTCTATCTAGTTTTATAGTTATTGTTGATTAAAAATGCATTACTATTTTTCTTCTAATTAGGTGGGCACTTTTAAGTAAACGTATCATCGATTGTGTGCCATTTTCTCCTGAATTCATCTTCCTCATTATTAATCTTGTGTGACAGTGTCTCCTTTAACTGAACCTCTTGAATTGCGTCCAGCCAGTTTTGGATTTTGGGGATGTTGGTTGTTCTTCAATTTTTGGTCATTTGTTTGAGGGCGGTTATTCGTATTATCCAGAAAGGTATTCCTCTCTTCTCTTCATTCTCTGAGTTAATATTCCCAGTGATAATGTTTTGTCGTTGTGCAGGTTTATGTTTCTAAATACTTGCGTAATATTTGTTTTCACCTCAGTCCAATAGTCTTGGATTTTCGTACAAGTCATAAAAATATGTCTGTAGTCCACCTCTTTCTCCCCGCACTTCCTCCAACATTCTCCCAGCTTCTTGTTCTTTGTGTACTTTGAGATTGCTTTAGGTGTTTGGAAGAACCTCAAATGTAGTTTCCAAGCAAACTCTTGCCAATATGGCGTTCGTACGTGTGAGTAGTTTGCCTTCATGCTTTCGTACCACTTGTCATTATCAATCCTTTCCTCTGGTTCATTTTCCCACTTCACCTTGGTTGATTCACCATTTTGTTTCTGATGTCCTTGCATCATGGTATATATCTCTTTATAACTTTATGCTTTTCTCCGTTGCTCTTTTGAATTAGGTAACGTATGAGAGCATGAAGTTCATCCAGTTTTTGTATTGTTTGTATTGTTTTTTAGGTAACTTCTCACATGTAGATAACTATAGAAACGTTTGGTTTATTTCCCGATTGTTCTTAATGTGACCATGGTGTGTGGACATACACGGTGATAATAAACTACTATAGCCACAGCTGCCCTGGGGCACACTGACAGAAGCGAGGCAACCAGTCTGTGCCATTGGCCCTTCCAACCACCACCAACACATCAGAATCATGCTTGGCAATGTGGGTGAAGGGTCTTGCCTCAGGACACAACAACAGTTTGACACTTTACAGCCGCAGCCGCCCCAGTGGCACCTGTTCCCAGAGGTCTCCCATCACAGTACTAACCAGTTCCTGCCCTGCACAGCTTCAGAGGTCTGCAGGGAACATGGATCTAGGATCTGACTTCCACCGCTAGTTCAGGGGTATGTTCAAGTGTCTACTGTGTTTTAGGGATCTTTTTGTATTAGGGACATGTCTGGAAAGTTTTTTTTAATTTAATTTCAAATTTAAAACAGGTCTAAAGACGCTCTCTACAGCATTCTGGTTTAAGTATTCTATTCATGAAAATATAAAATAACAATTTATTTATTTATTCAATTATCAAACCCTGAATTATAATCTCAACAAATAAGTCTGACTTAAAATGACTTAAAACATGTGAAAGTGTAATTTACTGAACTAATTATCGTTATATCTCACACATAAACCATTAAAATGTACTTGTAATATGCTTTTAGGAATGTGACAAAAATAAAAACAGTCGATAGATGTTTTATACACATGACAGTCTCCCCCTGCTGGACAAGTGTGCTCTGGACAGCAGCTCGCAGCCTGCTGTGAGGAGAAGAGGTTTCAGATTGTACAACGAACACTGTTGCTCTGTCTATCATAAAACATATCTTGGGGCTGTCTAAGGACTGTCTGCACAACAGCCTCTGACAATTCAATCTGCTTTTGTTTTGCTCAATACATAAAATGTCACATCCATCACTAACTACATGTATAAGTGTGAAACTCCCTTCAGCCAATTTAGGATCCTGCACTTATCTTGAAAGTGAACTTGTTTTCTCTAAGTGTAATTATAGATGTATACTTAAGCTAACATTGTTCTTAAAGATTTTAGGTATTTTACAATAATTCCATTCTAGCATAAAGGAACTATCAAGATAAGTTCAGCATGTTGGCTCCAAAGAACCAGGACCTGCAACATGCACTGGGACGGTTTGCAGCCGAGTGTGAAGCGGCTGGGATGAGAATCAGCACCTCCAAATCTGAGGCCATGGTGCTCGACCGGAAAAAGGTGCCTTGCCCTCTCCAGGTGGGTGGAGAGGTCCTTCCTCAAGTGGAGGAGTTCAAGTATCTCGGGGTCTTGTTCACGAGTGAGGGAAGGATGGAGCGTGAGATTGACAGGCGGATCAGTGCAGCGTGTGCAGTGATGTGGTCGCTGTATCGGACCGTTGTGGTAAAGAGGGAGCTGAGCCGAAAGGCAAAGCTCTCGATTTACCGGTCAATCTTCGTTCCCTCCCTCACCTATGGTCATGAGCTTTGGGTAATGACCGAAAGAACGAGATCGCGATACAAGCGGTCCAAATGAGCTTCCTCCGCAGAGTGGCTGGGCGCTCCCTTAGAGATAGGGTGAGGAGCTCAGTAACACGGGAGGAGCTCGGAGTAGAGCCGCTGCTTCTCCACATCGACCCTCGTCCCACCCTTGAGGAGGCCCCGGGGAAGACCCAGGACCCGCTGGAGGGACTATGTTTCTCAGCTGGGAACGCCCTGGGTGTAATGTGATGGCTCTATTTTATGTGTAATGTTATTGAAGCAGTGATGTGGCTGAGGGATATAAAATCTGCTTCCGGTTTAACACATGTGTTCTGACGCTGTACAACTGATGCATGACCAGTGTTATGTTCGACATTAAAGCCGATAAACTTATTGGTGTTCCTCCTGACTTTGCATAACACTACATGGTGTCAGAAGACGTCTAAAGATGGCGAAGTTCCCACCTCCCGAAGCTTTTGATTTTTTGAGACCAGAGCACTGGCCCGAGTGGCGCCAGCGGTTTCAACGCTACAGAACGGCGACGAAGCTCTCCCTAGAGTATGGTGATGTACAGGTCTCTACGCTATTGTATTCGCTGGGAAAAGAAGCGGAACAGGTGTATAAAGGGGCGTTCACACCGGACTTAACTTCGGCGTCAAAAGCGTCAAGTTTCCATTGAAAGTGAATGGTGAAGCGCGTCAGGTGAAGCCGAGAGCCCCGGCGTCACTTGACGCGCGTCAAAAGCTTCAAGAGTCGCGCGTACTACGCGCTCACTTGAAGCTTTTGACGCGCGAAACGCTCGCGTATCACAACAATCCCTTTGACGCCAAAGTTGAGCAAAGCTGAGCTTTTGAAGCTTTGACACGGGCTTCAACCAATCAGGAGACGAGGAGCAGCAGCAGCAGAGGGTCTGTCTCTGTCATGAAGAGAAGTCATGTATCTGCTGCTGCTGTTTTATTGTCATTATTGTTATTAGTAATATTATTTGTATGAGTAGTAAAATTCTGAGTAACAAAAATCATTGTACACATGCTGTGTAGTAAACGTAGTTTATTTAATATAAGAACAGGCTGACGATGAGTCTGGCTCAGAGCAAGGCAGCTCCGGGCGGGCGAGAGCCGGGGAGAGGCAGGGAGAGGCGAGAGCCGGGGAGAGCCGGGGAGAGGCAGGGAGAGGCGAGCGAGAGCCGGGGAGAGGCAGGGAGAGGCGAGCGAGAGCCGGGGAGAGGCAGGGAGAGGCGAGAGCCGGGGAGAGCCGGGGAGAGGCAGGGAGAGGCGAGCGAGAGCCGGGGAGAGGCAGGGAGAGGCGAGCGAGAGCCGGGGAGAGGCAGGGGGAGGCAGGGAGAGGCGAGAGCGAGCCGGGGAGAGGCGAGCTCCGGGGTTTGAGAACTCAGACTGGGCGAGTGACATGCGGAAGTACCGCTGAAAGCGAAACTCCTCCGTACGCAGCTCCTAGAGTAAATGACGGAACTCTGCAAACACTGCAGCCTCTCAAGTCTGTGGTGAACCCAGAACATGTTTTGTTGAAGCCCTACAACAACGTTATTTTGCTTTATATAACAAATAAAGGCTCGCTGCTCATTGAAAAATCCACCGCTGTCCTGACTACAGGCAACAGAGAAGCTCCTCCCACCGGCGTCAGGCGCGTCACTCGCGTCAAAAGCTTCAAGCACCAAAATGACAAAACTATCCCGGCGTCAGTTGAAGCGCGTCAAAAGCTTTTTGAAGCTTTTGGTCTGAACGCGCCTTAAGACATTCAACTTCGAGGAAGAGGATGGTGAGAACGATTTTGATGTTGTTTTGGAGAAACTAGACAACTATTTTGTGCCCAAAGTCAACACAATTCATGAAAGAGCTCGGTTTCATCAGCGCACGCAAAGAACCGGAGAGACGGCGGAGG